GTCTGAGGCCCCTGACAAATATAAAGTAGTGGATTGCCTGGTCTGTCCTCAGTGGGTGAAGAAGCACCCATCCTTTGAGAGACCTGAGAACATAGGGAGTGGTGATGCCTGAAGGCATGGGGGTAGAATGAGTACATCATCTTGGAAAGAGAGGAGGAGAAATGGGATGAGAAACTGACGGAGGGTGGCGAGGGAGGGGAACAATGTCTTGACTCTAAAAAATGAAATATAGTTTTTGTAAAAAATGCTAAAAGAAAACTAAGCAGAAATAATAAAGGATACCTCTCAGGTCATAGAAATTCTACAGCCACCATGAAGTAGTATCCACCAGAATTCTATTTCTTCTTGTGTTGGGTGACCTAACATTTCACTACTGACACAGTCATATCTCTAAAGAAAAACACATGTGCTCAGGAATATATATCTCTCATATGATGTAAGCCCAGCTTAAACCTGTGAGACACTATAATCTTTAATTATTTCTGCAATGTGAATTCACAGAAAAACCTTGCCTTAATTACTTTCTGTTGCTGTTATAAAATGCAATGACCAAGGCAACTTATTAAACAAAAGGTTTAAATGGGTTTATAGATCAAGAGGGATATAGCACGACAGGAAAGCATGGCATTATGCAGAAACCATGTCATCTAGGTAAATTGAGAGATAAAATAACCAACAAGTAACAAGTAGAATTAGAGAAATCTGAGAATGGTGTAAATCATTTGAATTCTCAAGCCTGTCTTTCATGACATGTTTTCTCCATCAGAGACACACTTCCTAATCCTTCTCAAATAGTTTCACCACTGTCTCGAGCTCCACTTTTACTTCCTAAGGAGCATACTCCATACAAAAGAACCCCACAGGCCGAGTCCTGACTAAGAAGTTGTTATGTCCTTCTCACAGGAGCCTTCTACAGGTTTTGTGTGTCCTGGGTCTGAAACTGTGCTTTGTGTCTGCTCCATGCTGTAAGCATCTCAGAGACAATCCAGAGAGCTTCCAAGTCCCTAACACTTATTTGGAATGTCAAAGTCATCCAATCTCATGAACTCAGCAGCTGTCAATTTCTCTGCATTTCTGGTTCACATCCAGTGAGCAGATAGCCATGGGATATAAAATAAAATTGTATATCTGTGTTGATGTGTATGCTTTATCTTGATTCTTTCCACCACTAGGAAGTGTATACTTCCTAGTTCAGGGGATAATGTCTACATCATATAAATGACTAAAACAGCTGGATAATACTGATCCAAATTCAGCTGAAAGAGCAAAAATTATTTTTAAAACAGAGATGAGTTTTAAAAAAAAGCATAGCACAGAATCAATGTTTTTCATCACCAGTGCAATTAAAAGTAAAGTTTGAAGATTTATCCTCATATATTTTGTAAATATCCAGGATAAGTTATGTAATGTGACCTTACACCAGGTTCCATGCATATGGATGCTTAGAATGTGAGACTGTAAATGTACAGTCATCTGATGTTAAGTACATTTGATTCAAACAAAATATGTATTCATGTTTTCATGAACAAAAATGAACAAAATCAATAGTTTTCCCATCACATTTAGGGGGATTTTAGAACTTTATCAGACTAGTCTAAATCTGACTAAGTGTTGTCTCAGAGAGAAGCTTTACACAGCATGGGGAAGCACAAAAAGACACTGGGGAAAATATATCACACCTGAGCCTGATCTGGAAATATGAAAGCGTGTGATGCTATTTAAACTTCATAGTTTCAAAAAGGTATGGCATAACCACATATAATTGTCAGTGAACAAAAATATCCCTGCATCTTCCCTGAAACTGTCTTCCAGAGCTTGTTATATAGCAAGAGGAGATGCAAAGAGGGAGTTCTGCTACTCAACAAAACCAGCCCAGTGCTGAGCCTCATCTGTGGCATAGGAGCTTAGCACTGGATTCCAGTCAGTACTCCCCATTCAATGATTAGCATGGAAAGCAGGCTACTAACTATGGAGTTGGGGCTTAGATAGGTTTTCCTTTTTGCTCTCTTAAGAGGAAATTAACAGAGAAGAAACTATGTTTTGTAACAGCAAATGAGTAAAAGGGAAAGTGGTATATGTGGCAGTTTTCTGACAATGATTCTCTCTGCTTTCAAGTATGTAGGGTGAGATGCAGCTGGTAGAATCTGGAGGCAGTTTGGTACAGCCTGGAGAGTCCATTAAATTCACTTGTGAAGCCTCTGGATTCATCTTCAGTAATTTCTAGATGAAATGGATTCTACAAGCCCCAGAAATAATGCTAACGTGGTTAGTAGATAAAAAAAAATGATGGTAGTGCAAAATACTATCCACAGTCTGTGAAGGATAGATTTGCCATCTCCAGAGACAATTCTAAAAACATATTTTATCTACAAATTTAAAGCCTGAGAAATGAGGATACTGCCATATATTACTGTGCAAGTGACAAAGTGAGGAAATGAAGTTGTGAGATCAGGCATAAAACTCTCCACAAGATTCTGATGGCCAGTAGGGGCCCTGGTACACAGGAATCTTCAGATCAAAAGAAGTAGAGGATTGTGAATGGTACAATATTTTAGGTTGTAATGATCTCAAATTATAATACACATTTTCCAGAAAACTTCTACAGAGGCATGCAACTAATAATTTTTGAAATTAGCAAATATCTAATGAAATATGTATATAAGTCTGATGTACATAATTAAATAGAGAATACAGTCATTCTGAACAAACTTGAGAGCATTAACAGGGCAGATATGACTCACCTGCAGATGTGGGCATCAGAATCACAATATGGGGAAGAATGGAAATAAGTAGTTTTAAAACAAATGAATTTGGGGGAGGGTATTGGATTTCCCTCACGATTAAAACCCAAGCCAAGGATTCCAGAAATCCCTGAGAGAATCCAGACCTAGATGAATTGTATTGCCTTGAGTAATAGTCTGAGAAATACATTCAAAATGCTCAGAATAATTGTTTGCAAAAAGTAACATTCTGTACAGAGTCACCAATGTTAAATTCCACAATCAGCTTTGTTGTATTCTGCCTTAATTTGTGCCAGAGATTCATGTGCAAAAGCTTAACTCCTTTGGCTACAGGAAATAGATATTTCACCTGAGTCTCTTGAGTTTGTCAATCCTTGAGTTTAGTGATTAAACAAGTGAAACATTCTAACCTAACCAAGGAGTAAGTGAAGGAATACAAACAGTAGAACAAATCTAGGCAATGTGTGTCTCAAGTGTTGATGAGAATATAAGAAGAATGATTAGAAGTGTGTGAAAGACCATAGGTAAAATGATGACTTTGCTGCTGAAATTAAAAAAATAACCAAAGACTCATGCATGTTCCTTTGAACATAATAAAACTGTCACTTTTCTCACAAATTCATTAGTGCCTTTGATTGTCTTCATTTTCCATAAAGCGTCATAAAACCATTTGGAAAAAGTTCATGAAGGAGTTCTTCAGGAAGAAAACTTATTTATGGTGTTTAATGACACATCGGTAAATAGTCCATTGTTTCATGAACTGAACATACCTCCCACTGTGGACAACTCTCATGCTTAGGAACCCAGAGTAGTGTGAACATGAATGATTTCTTGTGAGTATTGGTGTCTCCCTGCTGCAGTTAATCCTACTTTTCCTTGCTCATTTTAACATTCTTTCATTGCTCTTTTGGTAGGAAGAATCTCATACAAACCATAAGTGGTGGAAGTGGATGTAGTGGAATTATAAAATCTATTGGTGCAGGCTGTTTATAACTAGACCCATCGCCCAGAGATTATCTTTCTGCTGTTAAGGGAATGTCAAGACCGTCCTTTGATATAAATCATAAGAGCTTCATGAGACAGTATCCATTCCAAAGTCAGATATCTTCTAAGAATTCTACTGACATTGCATTTTAAAGGATCAAACTCTGATCAGGAAGATTCCATCCCCTCCCACAACACACAGTCATTGTGATATTCCTAAATCTGCGTCAGTGCTGCTCAGACCTTCAGTAAGATGACAGAGCAATGCAAAAGGCTCCAGCAGACTATCATGAGCTGAAAGGACTGTAATTGATCAGACAGAGAGCGTACAATAAATGATATAGAGTGAGATTAAGTGTTAAAAATGGAGAGTGTGTTATTCAGTGATATGATTGCACAACCTGCATAAGTCTTTCCTCATCCCGTGAAAGACCAAGAAAGAATTCATTCAACAGGTAGATCGCAATGATAATTTGAAAAAAAAAAAGTTAGTTTTTTTTTTCTGTAATGGAAACAAAAGTTTAAAACATATGAATACTAAACACCCTTTTAAGTTTCTGTCATCTTAACCTATCTAGAAAATGTAAAATTAGTAAGGTTGTTTGATATTTCATCAAATCTAAGCAACAACGAAATCTGTTAAGAAAACAAATGACACCAAATGCTGATGAGTAGCTGGTGGAAGAGGAAATATAATATATGATTGGTTAAACATGCTGTAGCTCATATGGAAATCTGTCTGGAAATTTTTCCAAAAGATAAAATTACAAACGTAATATTACTTCCTACATTATTCCTGTGCAAGCAGCTCAGGACACTCTACTGGAAATTTACCAGATCTTCTTTGCAACAACAATAAGACAGGTTACCAAATTCTAGAAAGATTACCATCTTTCCTAAATATGTATAATATTGGTGGAAATAGAGAAGAAAACTAGGAACAGTGTGGACATACTAATAAAAAGCAAGAACCCAAGTGTGAAAAGAAGGTTTGCACTGTCTTGAAACCTTAAAAATACAGGAGCAGAGGAGGTTCCCTGGGAGATTGGTATAGAAAATGACAGTGGGATCATATCTAGATAAGTTTTCTGTAATTTCTACAGTCTTCATGCACTCTTATTCCATGCTCACGCTATAGGAAGCCAGAGCCAGTGACTGTCTTATTTTAATAACCAAGTGCATTCAGTATTCACCCCCCCAGTAATGAAGCCAACTCTCAATCCCTACATGCAAATGCTTCTTCTAGGTCTAAACTTAAATTCTCTCCTGTGCTGTAGGCACTCCCATCTCTCTCACTGGAGCCTGTTCTCTGAAGAAACAGGGTGTAACCTAAATGATGAGAGTGTTAAATCTTGTGTACCTGTTGACAGCCCTTCCTGGTGAGTGTTAATATTTCATACATCTGTCCATGTGGGGTTTTCAATTTGCGTGATTTATAGAATTTACTCTTCTTGTTTGAAGGTATCCTGTCTGAGGTGCAGCTTGAAGAGTCAGGACCTGCCCTGGTAAAACCCTCTCAGTCATTGTCCCTCACCTGTTCTGTCACTAGCTACTCCATCACCACCAGTGGTAATGGCTGGAACTGGATCAGGCAGATTCCAGGAAATAAGCTGGAGTGGATGGTGTACATAAGCTACGATGGTAGCACTATTTACAACCCATCTCTCAAAAGTCGAATCTCCATCACTAGAGACACATCCAAGAACCAGTTCTTCCTACAGTTGAACTCTGTGACTACCGAAGACACAGCTACATATTACTGTGCAAGAGACACAGTGTGGAATCTTTAGTGTGAGCCCTGACGTAAACCTCTTTGTAGAGCATCACTGTACCAGCAGGGGGCATGCCACTTACACTAAGCACAGGAAACCTAATTTAAAATAGGGAAAAATAATTCTTGCACAAAACTAACCGGAGACTTCTGCTCTCCAGGTAGACACACTGGTGCTAAGAATATCAGATAATACAATGCCCCAGGCCTCCAGATGTTCCTTAAATTATACCCAGAATTCTTCATTGACACAACCTCCTGGAGGCTCAACATCCCAACTCAAAACATAAATAGTACACTCTTGTTCTCCTGAAGGAAAACCCAATTCTAGCAACCTCAGAGATAAAACCAGAACCCCCAAAGCAACATTGTTATCCAGAACCCCAGTGGCCACTGCAGCTCACTGAAACCCAGAAACCCCGAGGCAATTGGAAAGCTCCAAAGGACACTCAGGTCCCAAAAACTCCAGTGGAGTCCCTGAAGACTCTCTGAACATTAGAATAACAGGACACTCAGACAAGAAGATAAAAGAAGAAATATAAACCAAAAGAAAATAATTCATCCATCAAGGGAACTTGCACCTGAACCTAAAATAAACCAATAGGAGATGTCTAGATACCAACACAAGAATAAAATTAACAACCAGAGCAAGACAGTAACACTAGAGCACAGCTATCTAACTACAGCAAGCCCTGGATATTCCAATACAGCTGAAGTACAAGCAAATGACTTTGAATGCAAACTTTTGAAGGTGATACCATCAGCTAAAGAAGAAATTAATAAAGTTCTTAGAGGAATGCAGTAAAAGACAAAGAGCAAGGAGCCTGACTAGAACAAGTTGAAGTCTCCCACCCCTTTTCTTTCTTTCTTTCTTTCTTTCTTTCTTTCTTTCTTTCTTTCTTTCTTTCTTCCTTCCTTCCTTCCTTCCTTCCTTCCTTCCTTCCTTCCTTCCTTCCTTTCTTCATTTCTTCCTTTCTTTCTTTGGAAGGCAGCAGGTGATAAAAACATTGGTGATTGGCATAGCTGATAGCAGACAGTGGCCCAAAACTTATCTAGCAATGGCAGAATGTCCAGCAAAAAACTCTGAACTCTTTTAATTCTTAGTTTTTAATTTTATTTTTATTTTACTTATTAACTTTATATTCCTGTCACTATCCCCCTCCTGGTCTCTCCCTTTACTCCCCTCTCCTCCTTTGAGCAGCTGGGCTACCTCTGGTTATCTCCCACCACCACCACCCCCTGGCACCCTGAAAGTTCAAGTCTCTGGCAGGCTAGTCGTTTCCTCTCCCATGAGGCCAGTTGAGGCATCCCAGATAGAAGAAGATAACCCATTGTACAGAAAACAGCTTTTGGGATATCCCTCATTCCAGTTCTGAACACACATGAAAGTCAAACTGCACATCTGCTACATGTTTGGGGATGCATATATGTCCAGCCTGTGTATGTTTTTGGTTGACATACACCAAACATCTTCTGAATTCTGAGAGCTTTAAACATCCAGTTTCATTGACTCTGTTGTTCTTCTTGTGGAATTCCTGTTCTACACACAGCCCACAATCCTTTCTCCTCTTCTTCTATAAATGTTCCCTTCCAAGCTTCATCCACTGATTCCCTGTGGGTGTCTGTATCTGTCTGAATCAGCTGCTGGGTGGAGCCTCCCAGAGGACAGTTATGACAGGCTCTTGTGTACAAGCATAACAGTGTATCATGAATAGAGTAAAGGGTTGATGCTTTAATATGGGATAGGTTTCATGTCAGGTCAGTTACAAGCTGTCCATTCACTCAGTCTCCATTCCACCCCCAGTGACATCATTTCATGTAGACAGGATAAATTGGGTTTGACATTTTTGTGGGTGGGTTTTTATATGTGTTGTTCATAGGAACCACTGAGGTTCCTGCTTGGGTACAGGAGGTGACATCTTCAGGTTCCAAGTCACCAATGTAGTGCAACATATTAAGCTCATCTCCATAGCCCAGGTCTCTTTCTCATCTTGCAGATGTCTCCCCATTCCTCACCCCCAACAATTGCAGACTTTCCTTCATTTTTATACCCATCTACCCACATTCCCTGTCTACTTCAAAACATGATCCTAACCTCTCATTCCTATTCCCATTTCCCTTTACTCTCATTTTCTTCTCTCCATCTCTTTTTTATAACTAATTCCCATTTCTAAGTAAGATTCAAGTGTCCGTTCCGGACATCTCTTGGCCCAAGGACCCCCAATTCAAGAGCTCTGGCCCCTGTGAGACACTAGCCTATGTTCCCTCCACCCTTGGAACAGAGTCCCAGTGCTTCTCACAGCCAGATGTCCACCCAGCACCTGCATGGAATGAACACAGTCAACTTCCTGCTTGTGCCTCTATGAGCTGCAGCCCTAGCCTCTTGAGAGGGGCAGATGCAGGACCCACAATTCAATCCAACAGGACCCACACCAAGGCACTCTGTAACCCAACACTACCTTATCACAGACTCATAGGAATTCAGAGATGGTGATGGTCTTACTTTAAAAATCAAGTGTACTTAGTATTCACCTTCCCCACTTATGGAGGCAAGGCTGGCTCACTGCCTGCAAATGCTGCTCTAGCTCTAAGTTAAATCCCCTCCTGGGCTGTGGCAGCTCATATCTCTCACACTGGAGATTTACCTCTGAAGAAAAGGGGCTGTAGCATAAAAGATGAGAATGTTGAGTCTTGTGTACATGTTGGCAGACCTTCCTGGTGAATGTTGACATTTCATACATGTGCCCATTGGAGTTTTTGAAAATGTAAGGCTCATAGAATTGACTCTTCTTCTCTGAAGGTTTCCAGCCTGAGGTATAACTACAGAAGTCTGCACCTGACCTGGTGAAACCCTCTCAGTCATTGTCTCTTACTTGCTCTGTCAGTGGCTACTCCATTACCAGTGGTTATGACTGGAGTTAGATCTGGAAGTTCCCAGAAAATAAAATGGAGGGGATGAAGTATATAATCTACAGTGGTAGCACTGGCTACAACTCATCTCTCAAAAGACAAATCTCTTTCACTAGAGACACATGCGAAAACTAGTACTTTCTGCAATTGAACTCTGTGACTACTGAGGACACAGCCACATATTTCTGTGCAAGAGTCATAGTGTGGGGTCTTCAGTGTGAGCCCAGACACAAACCTCCTTGTAGAGAAGCCCTGTACCAACAGGGGGCAGGCAACATACACCAAGCATAGGAAATTTACTTTAGGATTTATTTACTTTAGGATTTACTTTAGGATTTACTTTAGGATTTATTCCTGAGTAAGCTTAATTCTCTCAGCAGTTGTTCAATACATTTAACATCATACCCTAAAGTAAAAAACAATTCTTTTCCAAAACTCTGGCAGGAGAGTCATGATGTGAAGGAAGACATATTAGTGCTAAGGTCTTCTGTTAATACAATGGCTATATCCCACTAAAACTCCTTAAATTATACCCAGAGGTTTTCAGTGGCAATCCCTTCTGGAGGCTCCTCATGCCAGCTCACCTGAACCAGAATTCGTCCTTTCTAAAAGAACTTAAGGGAAAGAAACAAAGACAAGCCTCAGGGAAAGAAAGCCCAGTGACAGGCCCAATTTGAGATCCATCTCAAGGGGATGCTCCAAAGTCTGACACTATTACTGATGCTATGGTGTGCTCATAGACAGGAGTCTAGCATGGTTGCCCTCTGAGAAGCCCAAAAAGAACTGAATGAGACAAATGTATATACTTACACCAATCGACAAAAACTGGGGACCCCTGGGGATGAATTAGGGAAAAGCTGGAAAAAGCTGAGGAGGAGAGCAATCTCATAGGAAGACTAGAGTTCTCAACTAACGGGCCACCCCCACCCTCCTTAGATCTCTCAGGCACTTGGAAAACAACCAGGTAGCATATATGAGCTGATATGATACCCCTCTACAAACATACAGCAGAAGCCTGTGTAGTCTAGCCTCAGTGAGAGAAGATGCTTCTAGCCCTCCATTGACTTGAGGCTACAGGGAGTCGGAAGGTATGGTGGTGTGGGGTGGTAGAAGTTGGTACATCCTCTTTGAAATGGGGGGAAGAGGCATGCGATGAGGAACAGTCAAAGGGAAGACCAGGAGGTGGATAGAAACTGGATAGTAAAAAAGATTAAAAATAATTACCAGGAGCCAGCTCCAGCTTGGTGGGAGTAGAAAGTGATCTTTCTTCTCCTTTGGTCTGTTCTTCTTGAGGCAGCCGAGGGGGATGGGAATAGGAAGAGCGTTGGCAGAGGGGTAAGACTTGGTCTTACGATTAGGGGTAAAGCCTTGGGCTTTAAAGATTCGGGGTAAGATTTTTGTCTTACAAGATATTTAGGGTTGCTGTTTAATAAAATCTTACTTGTCTATTTTACTAAGTTTACTTACTAAGCTACTGTAGCTGACCTGCTTTCTGTTTGATCCTCTGAGGCTAGAAACTTCAGTTTCTGGGAACACTTAGCACCTCAGCCCAAGGACGTCAGAGGATTTGGAAAATAACCCTAGTACTCTCTCTGCAGGGGCTGCCAGGCTCTAACTTAGGTCTGTTGGTTTGAGGTCCCAGGAAGAAAAAACATTTAGAGAAGTTATTATAGTTTATTGCTAAGTGTAAAAAGTTTCCTATGAAAGCTTTCTAAGGGGAAAAGCGAAAAGGTCCTAAGTGAAGAAAAAGGAAAAATTCTATTCTGTCTGGGAAAGGGGAAAATCTCTATTCTATCTCTATTCTATCTTCTATTCTAACTCTCTATTCTCTAACTAACTAACTCTCTTCTCTTTGTCCTCAGTACTTATACATCTTACAGAGTACAAGGTCACATGGTACAAAGTTCATCACAAGTTCACACCAAAATTCAAATCATAAATTGAAATAGAAGTTTACAACAGAGAATGTTTACATGCATAACCATTAGGAGTAATTATCTGGCTAAACATCCATCACCTCCACAGGTTCACTGAAGCTTTAAAACTATAACTAAAAAATTAGTGAAGTTTTGTATAGATAAACCCAGGCAATATTTTCTCTTCTGTCCT